CTAATTTTAAACGCAGATAAAGCAAACTACAGATGATGATTTTTTCATTACACACTAAAATGATATTAATATGTGAGGAATCTCAGAATAGTTATAGGGTAGACAAGTTGCTTACTGGGAGGATAGCTAAAGTATAATTAATAATTGTGTAAGATATATCATTAAGAAGCAGTAAGAAAAGCTTGAAAAATTTCAGTAATAGGCAAAGGCTTAGATATCAAGAAAAGAAGAAAAGCTAAAAAATATATTAAAAAGGTCATTTTGTTATGAGGTGACTGAAGATAGGCAAGAGATGAGCAAAAGCAATTCCAGAAAGAATAAAAAGTTAAATGTTTCTTTTAGGAAGCAAACACTAAATCGCCAGCAATAGATGAAGATAGTTGTGAGTTTGGATATTGCAATTTACAAGCAATCGAAAATTGCCAAATCGCTATCAACAGAGATGTAGACAATAAAACCCATTAATTTATATGCCATTATTCTCCACCGAATCAAGCCAAGAAAAAATAAATTACTAATGAGAAAAATAACAATATACAATTTATAACTAAGAGTCGTCTGTGAAAAAGATAAGTGGTCTAAAAAAGCTATAGTGAAGTATACTGTGAATAATATCGAAAGCAAGTTGGAAAATATGATGCTGTAACCGAAAGACATTGAGAAGAGGGAAAATGTAGGTTCGCAGAATAAGTTTTGGTCACTTAAATGCGTAGAAAGGTTTATTCACGTAGTAGCATATAAAAGCCCTAAAGAATTTCGAGAGCAATTGTATTTTTCCACAATGTCAATAAAGTTCATTGTGCTGATAAATATAAATGACTATTAAATAAAAATGGATGCCATTCTAGTCAATAAAACTAAATTCAGAATTAATAAGAGTTGTATTCATCCTAATTTGCATGTGATGAAGGATAGGGGAATTTTTCCGTAAGGATGAGTAGGCTTTTCGATATTATTGAATTCCACATGACTTTGCTTCCAAAAAAGTATTTTAATCTAGAGTTTGTTATAGTTTCGAGCTTTCCTTTGTATCAGAAGCAGCCCAAGCAGGAATCAACGTTGCGTAGTGCAGTGTCTAATTTCGACATATTACCACTAAGCCAAACTGCCACGAACACCGGTTGGTCACAAGGCAGACGTGAGTGTCAAGACTAGCTAATCCTCTTTCATAAAACGTCTATGCAGTGGAATTGACGATGAAGTAAACTTGTATTTTTTGTTAAAATCGACTACGTTACTTATATTCCAACTGAGTAGGTTTAGAAACTACTAGTATATCTTGAATAAGAGTAAGAAAATTCAATTTTCAGTCCTTCACCAACTTACGCGAATAAGGGTGAATACAGCCATTATTAAAGCTGTAATTATATCGTCTAAACCTACTCAATCGGAATATAAAGTGAGAATGACCAATAAATGCGTATATATCAACGGGATTCGCGTTGCAGCCTCAAGAGACCAAGCATATAATACCATCAGAGAAAAATTATTTGCCTGTACTTGACCTGATAAACACTCAACAAAATAATACTCAGTTTCCCCCACAACCTCTTTGAATGTCACAGGACTAGGAATTAACGCAGAAGGGCATATTACAGAGTGGCAACTAGGTTGGAAGCAACGAATCTGAAATAACATTAGAAAACGGGACATCTGCCCTGTGACTCAAGGACAATTGTAGCAATGTGGCGGAGTGAGTAACGTGTCGAGCTTGTACGCTGTACTGTCATGGTTAGACTCCCGCTGAGACTGTTGATAAGACAGACCTAGGTGAGGCCAAAACTACAGTCTATTCTGGATGAGAACACCTTTTAGGTAAACAAGGCTATGTGAAATTGAATGGAAGCGTCAGCTCTACTCATATCATTGTGGGAAAATTCAATCACCGGTTAATCATCACCTTAAACGAAATTGGGTGGATACATTTCACCGCTACCTCCCCTGGTAAGAGAGACTTCATCATCATGAATGCGGATGATGAGTATTGCTACAATCAGACACGTTTTTATTCTATTTTTCATGTTCTTGTATTTCAAAGGCCTAATATTGTCTAGTAAGCAAAATTTATACAATATAAATTGATATTGTTAGTTGAATTGCTTCCATAGAGCATTAGCCTTTTAATCTCTGTATGAGTACGCTTCGAAACTAAACAAATTCGTAAATCGAAACTAAGGAAACCGAAGCGATTAAGATGATTTTAAAGTTAGCAGTGGAATTTATCCAGAATTCCATGAGTTGGTCTTACGATTTTGTCAAATTTCACTTGGCCTTGCTTTCCAAAAAGTTATCCCATATAAGACTGATTGTAGTTTCGACCTTAGTATCCGAAAATGGATGATGTTTATTGTGGCGACACATTATCACTCAGCAATCGAGTCACCAGTGCCAGTGGGTCAAAATTGAAATCATAATTATTCTGGTGAATATGAAAGTGCCTTTATTTTATGTGTTGGTATGCTTTAGATTTGTCGGTAATTCTCGAATAAGAAATTATTTCTTATACTTAGCATTTTATATTTTTCACATAGTTGAAATTATCCCTTATCTCATTCATTCTATCACTAAATACGGTTCTAAAGAATAAAATATAGGTCTCAAACCACTATACGTGGGGAAAAACGTCAATTTTGTTGCCAACCTACCCTTGCAGAGCCACTGGTGCTCCTCCTCTGAGCCAAGGCAGGTAATTGGTAATGGGGGCATCGATTCGGTTTGGTTGAAGGCTAGCCGCTACTAGGGGAGAATTAGAGTTAGTGGGGGCAACTGGAGCAGAGACTAGCGACACTGGGACAGAGGTTGCATTTGTAGTAGAGAAGTTGCTTCCAAGTGGGGTAGACCCGCCTAAAGGACCCATATAAGGTCCCGGACCGGCCGAACTACCAGTTGGGAACAGGCCCGATTGCCAGGCTCCTGAAAATCCGCTGCCAGGTGCGTCAGATTTGGGAGCGTTGGAACTGGCACTACGAGAGCCAACTTCAGATATGGCAAACGCGTCGTTTGTGCCACTGATGGCAGCAGCAAATGTAGATGATGTCCCACCAGCCGACTTCTTTGCCCCTGACCAGCTGGGGGGAGAAGAGGGAGGAGAAACCAACTTGTTTGATAGGCTTCCACGCTCTGGAGCGCTGTTAAGACTACCGACGCGTTGTAGACTAGCATCTGAGATGCCAGTCTCGTAGCCCTCAGCCTCAGAGGCGAAGGAGGCTCGCGCACTATTGCTGCTCACTGTAAATCCAGGAATGTCGCTAATGGGCATAGCAACAGTGTGGATGAGAGAATTGAAATCACTGTCACTGTTGCAATTAGTTGTGGTGGTGATAGCCATGGTTGTGTTCGCGATATTGTGTATGTTAGTAGTGTTGCTAACGCCACTGGCAATAGTAGAATTTTGGTCAGGTGAGGTGATGCAAATCTCAACATGGCTGGCACGGTGATGCTCTGTGTTGGGGCGGCATAACGGCGAAATAAGGCTCGGCTGATCTGGGCGAATGATGGCTGGCGGAGGGAAAGAGTCTAAAAAGGGAAAATACAACAAAGATGCACGCAAAGAGGTGATTTTCGCGCTTTCCTTCCGAACGTTAAGATAGACAATTGCCATCATGCAATGGATTTATAACAAATATAAGACCTCAGCCACTTTTGCTTACTTGAAACATGTTGTAGAAAATAAATGAAAGCTTAAAAGAATTTCTAGCTGACTCTCTCCCAAAAATGAAACCCTTGAATAAATTTATCAAATAACTAGAACAGATGAGAGTAGCAACTTTAGGAATATGAAGCTAAGCATATCTAAGGCATCAAATTAAAATATGAAGTGTATTCACCCTAGTTCATTTAAGGCGATAAGGGGACTGGTAGTTACATTTTTCCCGCAATAATAAAAGTAGAACTTACATTTCCATTGAATTTCACTTAGCCTCGTTTTCCCAAAAGGTATTCGCATCGAGGGTGGACCACAGTTTTGACTAAGGTCTTATCGATACCCCTAACGGGACTCGAACAAGGATGAAATATCAACACGTTAACCACTGAACCACATTACCACGAATGCCCTTTGATCACAGGGAATTTCAGTTTGAAGGAAATATTGGGTTAAAGGAATTCATGAATTGGCTTCATCGAAAACCGGAGGATGATCGACTGGTGTGAAATAAGGAATGTTGGATTGTGCGGAAGGTCCACATAAATACAAATCATTGAAGTATCATGCGATTGATTATTTGGGCAAAGGAACAGCTGCAGCTACATCCACTTATTTTTAATGACTCAACCCACTCTATCTACAAGAATATATGCTAGGCGTGAAATAGCCAACAGAATCATAGAATGACTCATTAGGATCGCAAAATTAGGTATTAAAAGTGAGCGTGATTGCACCTAGCCACCCCCATTTTCCCGGATTATTCTATATGGTGAGTTTATTCGTAAACCAAGATTTCTCATTCTAACGATGTCTGTCACATAACAGTCGAAATTTTAGCACAAGTTCAACGGAGTTGCTTTCGATAAGACGAATACATAAATTCCTTCCTTCAAAATTCATATAAAATTAAAAGTCCCGACACAATAAGACTTAAAGGAATTTTTTAAAGCCCAGGCTTTCTTCATATATTTTAACTTTCATGTCTGGAATTGGACTGATTTCACAGTGCCCAGAGTCAATTTCTAATCTCGTCCAGCAGTATTCACTGTTTATAAGATCATGCATTCTTCTAAAAAGGTCTCCCTTGGTAGTTTGTAAAAGTAATCGAGGAAGAATAGTTTATTTATTTATTTTTTACGTCCATATGATGTAACAACAAGTTAACAAATGCTTTTGCCTAACATACGATTTGCATACTGAATGCTAAGTGCATATTTAAATATTAGAAGCATTTGAG